GAGACACAACTCTTAATTAAGCACCTATTCATAAACAGACACAACTCTACAGACAGACAACCCTTTGTTTTTCAACAACAATATCCATGCTTGACAAGGGAATAAACCATTAAATACTCGCAAAACATTCAATATTCTCAAATAAAATCAAGCCTCTAAAAGGGCACATTTTAGCCTCTATACTACAAACAAGAGGGCATCTTAATAGGTTTTGCAGTGAAGGGGCATTTTGAACATAAGAATCAATCACGAATGCCAGATAATAGGACTCCGAAGAAATAAAATGGAAACTGAAAGAGATTAACTAAAACGAACAGGAAGAAAGTTTTGACCCAATTACCTTTTCTTCTGCCGTGCTTTTGAGGAAACAGAGGAAAGCATCAGAGAACTGCGTACCACAGGCGCCATTCCGCAAATGAGCAATGCAAGGGCAGTCCAAGGCTTTCTGAGCTTGCTCATCAAGAGACTATACATGTAGTCAAGTAATTTTTGAGGGCCTAAATAATTGTAACATTAAATTATCAAGCACATATATATAAATAAGAGACTTGAACCAACCTCGTTCGCATCTTCTGCACCATATGCTGCAGCTTCTGCTAGGGGAAAGGAGAATAACGTATAAGTATAATTCTTTTAAAGTCTAAGCAGCCTCAAGGTTCAGCTTCGAAATAGCTGGCAATTATCACGAATTTTTCACACAAAACCAAACCAAGTCTTCACACAAGCAATTTCACGATTATTCAGAACACTGATCTCTACACTTATTAACATCTTATGGAGTAATGACATTAAAAATGTGAGGAAGTGGAGAAACCCTACAAGGATGAGAAAGTTTACAGCAAAAGTGGAGAAACCCTAAAATGTTGAAAATTATGCCTTAAACTGTTTAGTGGGAATCTCATTTCCAATCTCAAGCTCTCTAACACACCATGATAACTGTTTATTCTTCTCCCTGACAGCATCAATTAATTTCCTACTTTATCCTTCCTATTACAGAATATCACATTGCTCAAACTCCTGAGAATAAAGTTAACAATAAAATAAAAAAAAAAACACATATAAATTCAAGAAGTGAAGAAAAAGTCTATCACAAGCCATACCAAAATTCAATCACAGTTAAAATCTTGGAAAGTAACAATGGGCAGTCACAAGATTTGGGTAGTATTGAGGCAAGAAATTGGAATTGCAAGAATTAGTGCTTCTAACAAAGGAAAACAAGAAATTGGAATGGCACCGACCGGCAATTAAAGAATCAAGGGAAGGCTGCGGCGAAGGGGATTGGGGCAGCGTGGGTGCGGTGGCGGTGGAATGAGTTTGATCCACCGAGGCGGCAACTCCCCGCTCGCTCTGGCTCTGCACTTGACCCATAGTATGCAGTTGACACTTATTTGGGAGTTTGGGTTTCAAATCTTTCAATTATGATTTCCAGAATTTTCATTTTTATGATTTTGATTCTTATATTCTCATTTCTCAAATAATGATATTTAAAACTTATTTTCCAAGCTTTCCAATCACTGCATCACCCCCACTAATTTGTTAGCAAGTTTATTATTTTATTTAATATAAATATTAATTTAAAAATTTGTTTACAACATTTTCTTCTAAAATTAAAATATACTAGTAAATTACTCGCATTAATATTTTTATTGTATATTTAAATAATAAAATTAAAGATGAAATTTTAAATAATTTTAATATTTGAAAGTGTATATTTATTTGATTATAAGCATCCTTCCGGAACAGACAAATAGTAACTTTTGAAACTGTAACAAGACATGTTTTTTCAAGAATAACCTTACATGAAAAAATGATTGACCCTGACTCGCATTAATCGTCATACATGTTCTCGTTTGAATTGCAAGTGTGTAGGGTACCCTGATATATTAATTCATCACAAATTTTCAATGAATACATTACATATGAAAAAAGTAAAATTGTTTTTAAAGGCCAACAAATTAAAATTAAAAAATAAAAATTCAACTTATATATATATATATATATTAAAATCTATTATGTTTAATCACATTTATTGATTGATAAATTAAATTTGGAGATATTAAATGTTTAACATCCGAAACAATACCGCCTCCGACTTCCTTCCCCTTATCAATAGTCTTCTTCATCTTGAAATAGACAATAACTCAGAAAAGAGACAAAACAATTAAAAATTCGTGTGATTTGACTAATAGAGAACAAATTACTTGTTACTCATTTCATAATTATTTTCTGATACATTCTTACCATCTCTCTCTATATATATAATTATGTATGTATAATGCCAATTTATTTTTGTATTTTTGAAGGAAAATCATGATTATGGAAAAATGCATGTTTACATGCATGATTTATTTCACATTATTATACATTAACATCATAAAAGCAAGAAATGATATAAAATACGCCGGCCTACACTCTTTATTCAAATCAAATCAACTAAAATAAATGCTCCTTTATTCTAAAGAAAGTGAAATTCAGATGGATGCACTTCCACTAAGCCAATTCCGATCCCTCCATCTACTCGTAGTCGTCAAGGCAGCAGCTGTACATGAAGAACTTCTCCATGGCGCGACCGCACTCCACACAAGCCACCGTCTCCGGGAAGTGTCCGACGGCCGCCGGCACAACCATGCGAGTGCAGTGGTGCTTCGTGTGGAGCCCACGGAGCTGCCTGTCCAGCGCCGGAATAAACGCCGTCATGTCGGTGACTTCGTGCTTCCAGTTTTCGAAGTTCCTGATATTACAGATTAATTATATTAGTTTAGTAGTTATATTTATTTGCTGTTGAATAAGTTTTTTATTGTTCCTACTAATATGTAATCTCTTCTTAGACTATTTGATGTATGTCTATATATTCTGTTCATCTCAATAAAGAATTATCATTCACTACTGAAAATTACGGAATTTCGGACCACCTGAAAGTGATCAGAAATAGGGACAAAAGTTTTTCCAGATATCAAAAGTGGTCGGAACAAGGCTTTTGACTTGATTTAAGATCAATTTAAGGTGGTCGGAAATTCCATAATTTCCAATAGTGATTCCGGTCATAATTCTATACCTGAAGACTTGCATCACGTTTTTGCCTTCTCCTTTGGTCATCTCCTCCAGCCCGCGGCTGAAAACCGCCCACCCGCGGTTGCTGCCGTCGTAGCTAAGGATAGCCTTGACTTCCTGAAGGATAGGGTCCCTGGTCTCCTCGGCTGGTACGATGAAATTGCCGGAATCGTCGCGCATTGTCGGGGTGGTTCTTTCCCCTCGCAGGTACCACATGCTCTCTAGCCTCTCCCAGAAGAACCAGACCATGGTGGGGTCGTGAAGAACGTGGCTCAGTTGTTCTTCGTGGATTGTGTTGTTGATCCTCCGAATCCTCTCTTTGGGGTTCATTTTTCCGACGTAGAGCAGTTCTAGTGGGATCCCGGATTGTTGCGCCACCATCCTTGCCGTCTTTGTAAAGCTCCGAATCCATTCCATGTCCTCTCCTCCGTACAAACATATGCACTTCCCATCATTAAACTGCAAAAACATAAATATATGTATATATATATACAAGCTAAGTCACGCTCAAGTGAGAATAGGTGCAGAAGAAAACATATATGCAATGACATTTCAGTAATTACGATTATTCCTACTGCATTTTATGATATGTACAAGTGTAATTCTTTTGAGTGCACTTTACATATCATAGAATATACTTGTATAGTTTTGTTTAAATGTATTTCTAGAGTCTCAAACCTTTTTTTGGGTGATCAAGAAAACTCGCAACCTCAAAGGATGTGCATTGGGTAAATTCATCTTGTGACCATAGCCAGCAAATGAACACAAGAAGGTCAGTAAACCAGCCTGTCTTGTGACCATAGCCGACAATAAAGACCACAATTAAGGAGGCTAGTAAACTAGCCTGTCTTGTGACCATAGCCAGCAAAGGAGCACAAGGAGGCCAGTAAACTAGCCTATCTTGTGACCATAGCTGGCAATAAGGACCAAAGAAGGCCAGTAAACCAGCTTGTCTTGTGACCATAGCTAACAAAGGACTAGCTACAATGAGGTAAACCAGCCTAGCTAAAATGCTTATATATAACTGATTGGGAGTCGAACTAGTAACATTGTGATCTGATTACCAAATCAATAGGCTCACCTACTTAGTTAGAGTTGTCTCAAAAATCTCAAAATCTTGGGTGTACTTCACAAAATGCACTTAGTGTGTTATAAGTTCACATTGTATTTTACCCAAATTTTTTTCCTATGTATGCTTGGATTAATTGAATTATTATACTTACCCAATTGAATATGTTTTGGTCAATGGAATCAGCCAGCAATCCCATACTCCAAGAAGTTTCATTCCAGAGAGCCTCTTCCTTGGACTTAGTAAACGGGAAAGCCACACTTCCGAAGATCCAGAACATGGGGAAAGCATTAACGTTGACGAGTTTCCCTTGAGGATCCACGACAGCAAGTAGGGGCTTGTGGGTGAACCCCCAAACTTCCTTAACATATCCGAAAACAGCCTCGTCAATGTTGCGTGGGTGCGACACCGAGAACCACGGCATGGATCCGTACACCGCCTGGAACTGCCGGTCCTTGGCCTCCGTCCACGCCGACCGCCGGTCGACGATCGGCAGCCACACCACCTCGAACTGGCTCTCCGGCCGGCTTGGGTCTTGCTTGGAGTCATGGTACATGTGCCGAAGCATGCTGACCACCTCGTTAGGGATTTCCAGGTCCGACACCAGTAGGAACACGTATTTCCTCCGCAGGAAATCCAGACTATGCTGTAATAATCACAAAACCAAACACCAAAATGTATAGATTTGTTATTACATGCATGCATGCAGCATATATAATCAATATTTCACTACTGGAAATTATGGAATTTCCAACCACGTGAAAGTGATCTTAAATCAAACAGAAAGTCTTGTTCTAACCACTTTTGGTATCCGGACAAACCTTTGTTGCTATTTCCGACCACTTTTTGGTTTCAATTTGATTTAAGATCACTCTTAGGTGGTCAGAAATTTCATAATTTCCAGTAGTGTTTTAAAACTTATATATAATATTTTATAGCAATGTTGCAAAGCACGTTAGGCGCCCCCTAGGCGGCAAGGGGGCGCCTAGCGCCTAAGGGCCGATTTTTTTATTTTATTTTTTAATTTTTTTTAATTTTTTAATTAAATATAAAATTAAAAATTAAAATTTTTTAAAATTTAATAATAATTTCATAGTTATTTCTTAGAAACTATTTACGAAAATTATTATATAAGTGTTCAAAAGATTGTTTAAACCATCTAAATACATAAAAAACTAAAATTAAGAGCTAAAGAAGCATTTTTTGAGAAATTAGCGGACCAGACCGCCTTCCACAGTTTGCGGTGGATAGATCTCGAAAAAATACGCGATTTGAAAAAAAAATTGTCCAAAACGGACAATTGAGTCAAAAGTTATGCCTTCCCGAACTTTTCGCAATTTAAAACGCAAAAAAAGAAAAATAAATAAATAAATAAAGCGCTGGTTTAGCCGGCTAGGCGGTCTAGGCGGCCGGCAGCGTAGGAGGCCGCCGAGGCCATTCCTCGCAGCGGCCTCCTAGCGCCTAGCGCGATTTTTGCAACCCTGTTTTATAGACAATTTGGAATAGTAATACACTGTTTATAAAAAATAATATTACTAAGCCTATATACCATAAAAGACCCAAATTCTCCTAATCCGATCCTACTCATCTCATAAATTGAGACTTGTGAGACGGTTTCACAGAAAAATTTGTGAGATAATTTACCTTTTTCATATCAGCTCCATGGATGATTGGCATTGGATCATTTTCCCCGCAGATGATAAGCTCAGTTGAGTACTTATTATCTGTGTGGGTTCTAGTCAATGTTTCTTCAAGTATTTTTCGCTTAATTTGATGCTTTATCTTGCCTGCATTACATCAATCGCGTTAAAATTGATAATTTATATGTTCTAAGTCGCTTAATTATATTTATAAAACGTGACTCACCGATTTCCTGGGAAGACTGGTTTATTGCCCTCTGTAGGTCACCCAGTAGGTAACTCAGCTTGTGGGTTAAAGTGGATATCTCCAAATCCTCTTCCATGGATGAATAGTAGCTATAAATCAAGCAAAAGAATTTCTCTAAGAGTACAACATTAATAAAATAAGAAAAAATATATGAATTTATAAAATTATTCGTTAAACCAGCTAATTGATTGGATTCAATTTTTAATGTACTTTAACCCTTTTTATTAGTGGTGTCAATGAGGGCTAGCCCGCCCTACGCCTCTACTAGGGGTTGAAATTTTTTCGAGCCAAAATTCTTCAAACCTAACCCGCGGTTCAACTCCAAAAATATATTATTGGAAGCCTGCGAGTTGACCTGTTGATCTGTAGCCCGTTAATCAGATCAAGTCCATAAAGCTCGTATTTTTATAGGTCAAAAATTTTA